TCCTTTTGATTTTTGAAGTGAGGACAAGCAAATGCTTTATGGCCACCTTGATTACATTTAAAACATTTGATGGATTTATTTATGTTAGGCTTTTTAACTTCCTGAGGTTTATTTCCACTATAATCATTTGTATTCATGAAACTTGCTAAATACTTCAATAATGAAGTTGTATCGTGACAACCAGCTGATAACGCTCCAACTTCTAATAATTTATTACCCAGAGTGCCTATAATGGCTTGACAAATTACATCATCAGTAAGTTGACACGATATGCCTATACTCAATTTATTATAATAAATTCAATAACATTTTCATTGGGTAATTTGACTCGGTTAACAAGCTCTCTAATTTGGCAAAGCTTATTTTTTGTAAAAGGAAAAGATGTAATCAGTTTTTCTTTCCATTGACTCCAACTTAACTCATATGTTGGCTGTCTCTCATACCAACTTTTTGCATAGCCACACAGTTTAGATGTACAATTGCATATTAAGGTGGGTTCATCCCAACCATGAATTTTAGAAATGCTTTCTAAATTCCTCAGCCAGTGTTCAATTGGCACAGTGGATGATTGAGGATCAAACTCAGGAATGAAATCGTTTCTGCCAACATACCGTACAATTGTCCGTAATGATCCTACATTTTTCAAGGAGCTGTCTCCTTGATTATCTTGATTATTCCACAGGTTCTTAACAAGACCTTCTAGCGCTTCAATACGTTGATTGCTTTTTTTCAATTTTCTCCTGTATCTTTTCTTCTTGTTCACATTGCTATGTGAACTTGAATTTGAGGATGATGTGCTACTGGATCTCCTAGATCTCTTATGGCGACCCATGTTAACAACAATTAAAGCAAAATATACACCAACACTTATAGTTATTATATCTAAATTTAAACTTAGTGAATATCAGTTGTGTCTAAGGTTACCTGCTGACCGTCTTAACATTTGTTAACAAATATCCTTCAGCAATATAACAGTGTTAGAAAATTAGTGTTATGTAGCACTTGGTAGAATGTTATTAATAAATAGATGTGGTTAAGTAACTGTCTTTTGCACTTAAGAATATGAAAATAATATTTAAGATACAAAGTAGCTAAGATCACAATCAGCACCACCAATCATGTACAAGATGCAGCATAATTTAATTATTACTTAATGTTCTAATAGTCTTTTAGTGTTACAAAATAACCATTATATTGAGTCCAATTTCAGCTCATGCATAGATAAAAGTTCAACATGGAAAAAGCTCACCAATCACCAGTTTCAAGCACTTGAGCCATGCATGCATTGAGTAGAAAAAGTTGTAGTCCTTCATAAGCACAACAAAACACACATTCACAAAACTTTGTTAGCGATGAAAGTTTTTAAAACCATCGAGAACTTAGTTTTATATTGTTCATAAGCCAAGCACAAAAATGGCGGTCTTTCCCAAAAAAGCAAAATTTTAAAATACGTCCTCTTTCGTAATTATCCTGCTGCTGCACTTTACTAATGTAGTCACTTATCACTGCACGTAAGTTTTATTCCACTTCTGAAACTTTTAAGTAAAACTCAATACTTTAAATATCTAAAAGTTTATTATAATCGGATTCTTTTAAAAACACAGAACACAGTGCCCTTCCAACTTCCCACCAGTATCGAGCGTCACTCCACTTTGCGCGGGAAACTTTTCTAAACCGTCCCATTTGACAGATGACATCGTCAATATGACAGCTAGTGCTGTCGATAACATAGATTAAACTAGTGACGTTCATTTAGTTGATTTTCGTCGTCTAACAATATAAAGATAAAGATGTATATTTGACCACTACCTCGCCTGGTGGTAAGCGATGATGCGGTCTACGATGGAGCACGTCGTCCCAAAATCAACCTATTCACTCGGGCCTTGAAGACTCCCAGGTTACCCTTCAGGAAATACAGACTCTGGCAAAGAATTGCACTCCTTAGCAGTACGCACAAAGAAGCTTGATGCGAAGCGCTTCGTGCGTGTGGGTGGGACATCTACCATGAATCGGTGACGCTTCACCGATTGTCTTGTGGTATTGCCATACAGCGAGCATAATTGCAGATGGTGCCGCGTGAATTATCCTACGTCATTCTTAACACTCCCACAACTACTTGCTATATTATATGTATATGCAAAATTTCGCGTTGGTTGAGTAGACAAAACGCAAAAATAACAAACAAACTTACTTTCGCATTATTATAATATTAGAGAGGGATTTATTTATAAACACAAAGTTCACAGGAGTTCATAAATATGCAGCAGTCGGTCGGCTAATGTTTTAATTATATCATCTCGTGTTGAGTGAGCACAGATCATTAGAATGAACAAAGTTAATTACCAATGACATTGATACGATGTGACGTGTGATTGGGTATATTTGCATAGAGATTACAATGCCGCCTCCGACTCCACCACTAATGTATTCACAACTCTAGGAATTTACGTCTTAACAACAGCAGGTATGTGTAACGCAACAGTTTTGTTGTATTCAAGTAGTTTATTACTCTGACGTATGTAGTTTGACGAGCGTAAATCAAATAACAATAGAAAGAAACGACGCGTCTTCTCTTCTAATACCAAATAAAAATCTTTTAGTAAACCAATCAAGTTAGTCTCGCAAGATCTGAATCTTGTACATTTTTAGAGAGATAAATGTTGTTCGAAACATGAACGACGTCTCATGGGACGTCGTCCATGTTCATTCAATCTGGACCTCATGAGATCCAGATTGCATTCTCTCGAAAGGAGTTTTCAGTTTTAGGAGTTCTCAAAATTCTTGTTATGTTATGCTATGCACGTTATTTGAGTAATATTGTACAGAGTAAATACATTGAGAGACGGGCGGGGCATGGGCAGAGTGTTGTATGTTGTTACACAATACACATAGATTATAAAAACAAACACTTACAAATAGTATAATTTGGGCGCTCCTGTGTGTGTGTGTGTGTTAATAGGATAACAAGCTACTTTTGTATAGCTCCTGGTGAGGTCACATATAAAGCTAGGTAGCTTCACTATCAGACGGACTACTATTTACCTCTTTATTTCTTGACGTTTCTAAAGCCTGGTGCTTTATGATTAAAATAAACGCTTCGACTTTGACTTCAGCTTTAACTGGTAATCGAACCCACGATACGTCGTACAGCCACTGCACCTGCTGCCACTGTCTCGCGAGTAGACACGACTGTGTAATGTAAACACCAACAAACAGCAACAAGTGAACAACAACACAATCAACATTAATATATTCATTTGTTGCATTAAACAATGTTTGCTCGGGACCCTCGGGTGGTAGCGACAATATCTCCAAAGTTATAAATATGGACCCCTCGGACATGACTGCATAATTAATTAGTACAATTACATAATTATCTTCTAATCTACAAATACAAAAGTAACTTGTATGTATGTACATCGTTTTTTAAGTTCAGTCAGTGGCCAGACAGCAGACACCACTGTTTATGTAGCAAACTTGTGTTGTTATATTATTTGTTTTTTTATATTTAAGATGACGTTTGGCCTCCATCTCGCCTGGTGGTAAGTGATGATTTGGTGGACGATGGAGGAACCTGCTTACTCGGGCCTTTTTTATGGCATAAGCCGGTAAACGAGCAGATGGATCTCCTAATGGTAAGCAATCGGCGTCGCCGATGGACACTTGGAACACCAGGGATTTGGGGACTTGGGGATTAGGAGTTTGAGGATCGTTGGGGATTCAGGGATTGGGGAGATTGGGGGAAGGGGAAGGGAATTCGGCCTCCGGTAACCTCACTCACATGACGAAACACAACGCAAGCGTTGCTTCACGTCGATTTTCTGTTCGGCAGTGGTATCACTCCGGTCGTGCCGGCCCATTCGTGCCGAAGCATGGCTCTCCCGCACTTAAAAACACGCAAGTTGTATTTTTCAGGAAACATAACTGCACTCGAGGAATTCCATTCCTGACTGGTTCGCACAAGGACACTCGATGTGAAACACTTCGTGCGAATAGGTGGTATACCCAGGATATAAAGACCCCCGCCGTTAGTTGACTAACGTGAAGTAAAATCCACTTGTTACACTGAAGTGAAAGTGAATTAATTATTTTTGCAAATAGGCTACAAGGCAGCACTTTTACACGTCAATTTTATCAAGCGAACGATGAGGTCGACATTTCCTAACTGACTACTCTGAGAAGAAATGCCGAAACAAACTCAAAGGTCTGTCTATTTCAGTCAGTCTGGTAGTACGATGGTGAGTGAAACGGACTGTGGGGGGAGAAGGTTGTGTAAGAACTTATCTTGAGTGTAGTGGAATATAGTGGAAAAGTAAATAGTGAAATGATAGTGAAAGATTTGAGACAGAGTTGCAAGTACTCGTACTTGTATATTTCAAGGAAGGCACTTATGAATGTCAAACAAAAGTTGCTCTATTTGCGCGTTCCAAGGTGTAGATTCGAACGAGCAACAAACTCCATGGTTACTGTTTGTCAATTAGGTTCACAATACATTTCTTAGTTACTTACATTGTTTCGTTGGTGGTTCAATTTAATTAAACAGGTTGGTAATTACACAACTGCCTAATTGTCCCAGTGGTCACAAGTGCGACTGCCGGGCAAGGTGTCTCGGGCTCAATTTCCGGGTCGGCGAAAGTATTATTGGGTTTTTTTTAATCTCAGTAGTAGCACGGAGTCTGGAAATGTGCCCGGTATGACATAAATAGTGAAAAGTGGGTGTTACATTGTATAGTGGCATTAAGTGCCGTAATGTGCACCTCTGCCTACCCCTTCGGGGATAAAAGGTGATGTTATGTTATGGTAATTACACATTCGATTATATATTCTTACAAGTCTCCTGCTTGATGCTCCATTTATGTCACACTGCACACTCCACGGTACAGTGGCACGGTGGCGCTCTCCTCGCGTAATCCCCGTGTAGTGGACACTCGTGTGCTGATCCAGTCGCTGGCAGTACATCGCGCACTCCATGCACTTCATTCATTATTGACATCTTATAGTACAATTCAAGTGTGGGAGAGCCATGCTTCGGCACGAATGGACCGGCTCGACCGGAGTGATACCACCAACGAGCAGAAAACCGACTTGAAACAACGCTCGCGTTGTGTTTCGTCGTGTGAGTCAGGTTACCGGAGGCCCAATTACCCCCCCTCCCTAGTCTCCCGAATCCCCGAGTCCTCCAAAATCCTTAAATTCCCAATTCCCAAAAGGCCGGTAACGCACTTGTAACGCCTTGGTGTTTCGGGTGTCCATGGGCGGCGCTGATTGCGATTGCCGTTAAACCAGCGGACGGATCACCTGATGGTATCAAGTGATCCGTCCGCTGGTTTAACGGCTTATACTATAAAAAAAATATATAGTTACTGGAGCGGTGGACGGTAACAGGCCAAGAGGACGCAGCCCAATCAGATGGACGGACTAGACCCGAACAACCATGGACACCGGCCTACAAGGCAACTGTCCGGATTTTTTATTATTTGAAAATGAAACTTTGCTTCGCTCTAGGACTTTCTCCTGTGTCGTGGGTGCGTTTACAAACATACAAGTTCATATACACATGACACCCAGACCCGGAACAACAATCTGTGGATCAGACAAAGAGTTGCTCCGTGCGGAAATCGAACCCGCTACACGTTGCACGACAGCCGGTTGCCAGTCACCGCGCCAGCTGTGCAGTCACGTCAAAATCATTCCACAACGTTATTAGGCAATCAGGACCCTCAGTAACGAGGAATACGATGCGAGGAGGACACAGTAAGCAGTGCAATATGAACGGTATCAACAAGTTTTTTCATTTGTTTTCTTCTTCTGGTCTCTGTCTCCACAGTAGTTCCATTCTGCATCATCTAGAGCAGCTGCATGTAGAGAATCTACACTGATTCTAGAAATGTGCACAGTTGTGCCATACGAGGCGTCTGTACGAATACATGCCGCACAGTCGTGGTCAGTTCGCGGTGACGTCACACCGCGCTATCTGCGCCCTCTAGCGCGCAGCCAGCGTGACTATCCGCGATGTGCGGAGCACTACACTCTCTACAGCGCTCATTATACACACTTATTGTGTAATCTGTACAAATTAACATGTTATTGTTATCCTGTAACTTGTACTATGCACCCGCGTGGCACACGGACGTACACCTGCCTCAACTTACAGTCTCCAAGTACCTTCTGCCGAGCATTCACATCGCGGGTCGGTTTAGTAAGCTGCCAGTACAACCACTCGAACATCAATGACTAGTTGATATAATATATTTATGTTTTGTTCCCTAATATAACTTGAGTGGTGCTTGAAAGTACTTACATCAGCTCAGTGAGGCTGCTGACTACTTCATCAGCCAGGTTGATTCTCCATAGCGTTGTCAATTGCAGTATAATATTGGCTACTCTGTTAGCTTACTTTCTGAGATCTGACATCAGCAAGCAATACGTATTATATTGGAATAGAGATGAGCAGGTTTCTCTGCACACAGCAGGGAGGGCGCCACTCGCAAGGCGAGCTGCTAGTGTAGAGGTACAGTAAAGTTTAGACAAAACAATTGTTTTAGCGGACAATATAGACGTCAGCCGGCAGCTCGTCGCTCACACCGCATCGTACCATGACACAAACAATGTTACTTTTTCCGAGTTATATTAATGTACTTTCTAAGAATAACCTTCTTCGTGCGGGAAGCGGCTTTGGTCAGCAGTGGACACTTACAGGCTGTTGATGTTGATGTGTCGCGATAGTTATGAAATACAGAACAAATATAATAATGTGGAATATGGGAACAAAGCCTAGTTCCGAGTACCAAGTTATCGAACCGCGACACGTTGCCCAGTAGCCACCAACTATACCGTCAAAGATACAGGTTGCACTCATTCATCTCCATCATCGTCACAAGAAACAATCGCTTGCTGTCCACCGCTCCGGTGTGACAGCAGGCGCGGCGGGCGGCGGGACCATCACTAAGTCAATACTCAGTAACACTAAGCAGTGAGTGTTTGTTGTGTACCCAGGTAGGTGCCTCCTAGCGTCCCACTCGAGCGGGTCACTGCCGCGCGGGACAGCCTGGCACTGACATTCTCCAGTCGACGATCGTTCAAACAATTATACAATTGAACAATCATTACTTATTCACACTGCGAGGTACCGGCGTCACGGCCCGGCCCGTTCACTTGAAGACATTCCCTCGCAGATGGTTATGTTCTTATTATAGAACACAAGTACAAATTAAAGTTTCTGTTTATTTAGGTACTCAGTCTAATGCCTTCTTAGTGCTAAGTACTAAAATACTACGTAGGGCCTCTTTTAAAAGGTCATGCATTAATGTGTACTGCACTACTGCACTACTGCACTACTGCACTACTGCCCTGCACTGCACGTTGTTCGACTCAGTGCAATTTTGACTGCATGGTTGGCGCGGTGGTTGGGCAACTGGCTGCCGGGCAACGTGTCGCGGGTTCGATTCCCGCACGGTATAACTGTTTGTGTGATCCACAGACTGTTCCGGGTCTGTGTGTCATGTGTATGTGAACTTGTATGTTTGTAAACGCACTCACGACACGGGAGAAAATCCTAGTGTGGGGCAACGTTAAAATGCCTGCAATCTAGATCGTGAGTGACGAGTGACACATCACAACTCAGTAGAATATTGTATACCTCTAATATACAGTCAGGTACCTATTGGAAAACGAAGTACTGAAGCAAATTAATATTGTAGCAACATCTTCGGAGACATCATTATATATATATACTGAGTTGGATCATTACAGGGACTGTCGCCACAGTGCAGGGCACGCACAAGTTACACTCTGTCATGTCCACCAAACAAGAGGCGTCGGGATCGATTCCTGGGCCACGCATTGTTTTATTAAGTTTTCATAATTTTCAGTCATCACGCTCAGCTTCACTTTAATGTTACACGGAACAGACCTCAACCATAATTGTGGCCCATTTCTTGGACATAATTACGTCTGTGACGCGTCCCATGTCACGACACACCTCGATACTGATGTAGTACCTGCTCGCGTTAGATATCATTTACTTTCATTGTCACGTAAATGAATTAGTTTCAGTGTTGCTACTGTCGTGGCTGTACTGTGGCGGCCCGTGGGCAGCGCAGCGCCGGGGCTTCGGGCCTCGCAGCGGACCACTAATAGCAGCACCCGAGGACTTGCACCGGAATAGAAATATATCGATCGCAGCGACTGACAGCGTCAGGCAGCGGACAGGCTCATGATTACGTTATTCATCAGACAAATATCACAAAGATTTTCTCCTGAATCGTGGACTTACAAACATACTGTACATATAAATTACACCCAGATCCGGAACAACAATATTGTTTGTGGATCACACAAAAATTTGTTCCGTGCAGGAATCAAAACCTCTATACACGTTGCGCACTAGCACCAACACAGCCACAGAGAACGACTGTCACTGTGTGAGTCCGTCTTGCAGCGAGTGACACTCGCACAATATCTGGTTGGTGTACGTACTTGTGTACTCGGGGACTCGGGGACTGCGCTGGCTGACAGATCACTCGTCACAAGTAATTAGACCGCGCGGCAGGTGGCGCCACCGTCCGCCTACACATCGCTCACACCGACACATGGGACCAGCCCATCCATTCACTATATAGCATTACGCTTGTCTGCTAACTAACGGGGAGTGCAGAACTGTCGGTCGAGATGCCACTGTACCAAGATATCCCAAAGCACCCGAACCAATATATTAAAATAATACTTAGTGTTTCGACCGATAATAATAATAGAACTCACGACATGTTGAACAACAGAGCGTCTCGATTTCAAAAATGCTCGTTACAATGCGATTAGTCGCCGCGACCTGCGACACGTGCGACGAAATAACCTGTTACGCGCACAAAGAGGCGACAGATTGACTCGAGTGAGCTTTGCATGCACAATGTGTATTTACATAGCATCACGCTGTAATACTGCGCAGGGACGCAGGGCACACTCGGTGCGAGTAGACATTATACTCGGTTTGAACTGGAGACTGCAACGAATACATAGTGGCTGTGCTTGCGACTTCTCCACCACCAGCGACATTAGTCACTCGCTTGTTTTAGAATATTACGCTTACTACTAACACGACGGGATAGACAGAGACAGAGATAGACTGATGTGAAAATTACAAGAATTTTACCTAAACATCTGTCACACACGCCGTATACGTTAATTGCCGCTTCCACTCGAATCTACATTTTGCCTTTTGGAACGAGCGCCTAGCTTTACTGACGGACAGACTGACAGACCTGACAGACTATTCTTTTTATTGTATTTGTTCACATTTCAAAAGTACCGAATTATGGTTAAATTGAAATAACCTTCGGTTTCGGATGCTATTGTGCTGCGTCTGGCCTGTCGATATGTACGGCTGCGAAATATGGACCTTAACAGATGACACCATGAGACGCACAAAGGCGTTTGAAATGTGGTGTTACCGTCGGATGTTGCGCATAAGTTGGACGATACGGTGCTCCAGCGCGTCCACATGCCACGCAAAAAGATCCAAACCATCAAAAAGCGCAAGATAGAATATCTCGGTCACGTACTGATACATGCTGCTGCATTGTATAATGATGGGTGAGGTGGAAGGGAAGAGAAGCGCTGGGCGAAGGAAACAGTCGTGGCTGCGCAATATTCGGGAGTGGACTGGTATCAGCTCTGTGGAACAACTTTTCCGCCTGGCCAATGACAAGGACCAATACAAAAAGTTGACGGCCAACCTTCAGGAATGAAGTGGCACGAGAAGAAGATACTTCAAAGAATGTCATTCATTCAACAATAATTCCCGCTTTTTTATTTCACTTACTATATTAATTGTTATGAAGTCCTGGTACCTCGGAATTGGAATTGTAACGACTAAAACATGAGATATTTGTTGAAACTACAAATTTTAATAAAGTTACTTTATACAACGGCGGTGTCGTAAGTCCCGAGCCCCGGCGCTAAAAGAAAAAAAATAATTGTTTACGTAGTCGAGATTTGCTTATCTACACGAATATAAAGAGGAAATATTTGATTTTTGTTTGTTTGAATTGAATTGAATAGGCTTCGAAACTACCGGACAGATTATTTTGCCATTGGAATCCTATATTATCGATAATGAACATAGGCTATTATTTAATAAGACAAAATGTCGTTGCCTTTGCTGTTTTTACTAGCAAGTAAAAACTGTTTTCAAGGACTAGTAATAGTATTTAGCTGCATCAGAAATAGCACAAGCGTTTTACTTGCTAGTACCGCAGACCCAGCACCGACCCTCATAATTATTTATAAACAACTAGGATAAGTACTATGTGTTAATAGTTATAAGGAACAATGGGTTTGATATGTTAATTTTAACCAAAAACCCTAAATAAATCTAAATAATAAAAAAAAAGAATCAGGGATTTTAAAGAAAACATACGAATAAAATATTGAGAGCAGGTATACAAAATATAATTTATTGAAATCACGAAAATGAACATTTTACAATAAATTAAAAAAATATTTTTTGTCGAAGCTTATTACCTTGCCATCTCTTATTTTTTCGTCGAACTATTTCATCAGCTGTATAGACAATCTGTCAAAACTCCCTAAACAATACCGTATTTGAAACTAGATGGAGTTGTAGCCGCACCGCACGACTACATACCTACCAGTTACCAGTACCACCGAATACCTTTCCATATACCAGATACCTTCCACAATACCTTTACCAAAGTTATAGACTCACTCCGTTTAAAGAAACAAGAAACCAATTGTCTTGAAAAAGACAGTTTACGTTTTGACTCCGTTTTAAGAAACCAGAAACCAATTGTCTTGAAAAAGACAGTTTTCGACTTTCCTGCATAGAAACGATAATCATCACTGCGGCAACAGCGTTATCACACCGTGCCGCGAGCGATCGCTTCGAAAGAAGCGGTTTGGTAAAGCAAGCAGCCAAGCAGCGCAAGCGGAGCCGGAGTCGGAGGCCGGAGTACTTGCATTCATCTTCATTCATCTGTAGGTAGTCTTCAGTCTTCACTCAACGCCGGCTCTCGGAGAAATGCGCGCGCTCGCGCCGCGCGGTCATACTTATACGGAAGGAACCGATAGTGCCGTGTGCAAAGCGGCGCCCCGCACCCCGCGCGCCCCGCGCACGCCGGCGCGCCGCTATTGGTCGAAACTGTCACCTAACTATATCTGATCTTGTCTAGTTGTAAATATGTAAATAGAAATATAAGTAGCGTAGTTTGGCGAAATAAAATCATTCTTGTCAACACCTCTCATCGGAGTTTCACTACTACTAGAAGATAAGAAGAAACCTCCTCTAGGACACTAGGCTCTCCTACCTAGCTCCTAAAGAGTCAAACACAACTCGTCACTTCTACAGTATCCGTGGGCGTATGAGACTACTTTATTGTTTTGGATACCGTGCTAACTATCCATGGACGTTTGAGTGAATAACTGAATTGATTCTGATTGATTACACAGCATTAGAATTAACCGTGAAAAAGAATAAATTCAAAATTTGCCAGACGTCATTACTATACGCAGACGAAGTAGCGGGGAACAGCTAGCTTTTTATAATTTGACTTTTGAGTGAGACGTCAAAACGTTTAGTGGCGACATCTTTCACTTCATACTAAGACAGTTCGAGGAATAAGTAACAGATGTCGCGCTTAACGTAATCTAACCCAGTATCCTACAAGAACATGAAAGCACATCCAGTGTGCCCTAAAACTCAATTAAATTGTTTTGTTTCAAGTATAAATTATTTCTAATTATAAGTTAAAATCGCCAACCCGCATTGGGCAAGCGTGGTGATTAACCTTCTCCGTGTGAGAAGAGGCTTTGTTCAGCATTGGGTATTTATAGGCTGTTAATGATGCAGAGGTACGAATAATAAAATATCTAATTATACAGTAAAATTATTTATTTCATAATTTGTAAATTATAACTCTTATAATAATTGACTCGATTTATGTAGCAGCGGTGGGTGCCAGGGACCGGCGACACGAGCAGGCGGGGACCGACATGGACAATACATACAGACACTATATTACAATATATTACGCCGTCGCCCGGCGCCGCCTGCATCCCGTGTATTACTTTACTTACATAATCATCAGTATGGCGACACAGTACATGGTACTGCGCAGTTCCACTTCATCTTACGACTATACTTAATGTTAAATAGTGACACATTGTCGGATGAAACCGATGTGTCTTTGGTCGTACCATGTAGCAACTCATTCATTACATTATTATTATTACGTACTATAATTTATATTATAATACAAGTATTGACATAGTTATACTCCTCGACGCATGTGTCTTATACTACATATTTTATAATTAATATTGCAGTGTATGTGTGTGTGTGTGTGTGACTAGTCTGAGTCTGAGATCTCGATGTAGTCTCCGTGTCGCAGCATGCCGGGGGCGCGGGGCCCGGGGGGGGCCGGGGTCGCTCCGTACACGTTGTTTATGGTGTTCTGGATGACCACCACGACCGGGGAAGGTTGACCGGGGGCGAGGAGCGGGGCCAAAGCCTGTAGCGGGGTCATAGACCGTATCACGGTTTCTGATGGTAACGGGGTCACAGACGGTAGCGGGGCCCCGGTCGATAGCGGAGCGAAGGTCTGTAGCGGGGTCACACTTGATAACGGGGCCCTGGAGGTTAAAAGGGCCCCTGTTGTTGACGAGGCTCCGGTTGATAATGGGGCGTCGAATGTTGACAGGGTCTCGGCCGGTATCGGGGGTCCCGCTGGGAGTGTACTCAGTGACGCAGTGGTGGAGGGTGGCGGGGCCCGCTTCTTGACGTTACTGGAGGTGTTGATGTTGAAGTACTTCGCGTTGGCCGCCTTCTGTCGCTGCCACTCTTCATACCCGTCCAGACGAGTGACGTCAGCGGCCGGCGGGGCTCTCGCTGTAGTAGTGCGAGCTGTGTCCCGCTGTAGCGGTTTCAATGCCACCCCCGGCTTGAGTGGAGAAGTCCTCGGCGGCGCAGTATGTGTAGGCGGCGGCACAGTACTGGCACTGGATGTTGGCGTACTGTCCAGTATCACCGGCGCATGCGTACTGGTCGGTGTCGCCGGCGAGATCACCGAGATCCCAATAGTGACAGTAGAACCAATCAGCGTAGCAATACTACTGCTCACTGGCGTACTTTTACTATCAACCCGCGGGAGTTTATCAGTGAGTTTTGTATTCAACGCTGGCGTTTCTTCAACTTTAACTGGTGTACTATTTCTAGACGTTGACGTATTTTCATTTTTGTGTACCATACTATTACTGCGCACTGGCGTACTTTCGGAAGTCTCTGGAATATTTGATATCGTACTGTTCGCAAGACAACTTGTATTAGTTCCTGGCGTAGCTTTAGTGGGCGTACTCATACCTTCACATTTTATAATTCTACTTTTACTGGACATTGACGTACTTTCATTTGTTAACAATGTACTTTTTCTACGCTCTGTAGTACATTTACTAGGCGGACTTTTATTGTTGACCGGTGTATTTTTCCTGGTTTCTGGCGTACTTTTACTGGTCAGTTGCGTAGTATCAGTGGGCGCTGGTGTACTCTTACTGGTGGCTGGTGGACTGCTCGCTCGGCTTCTCTTCCTGGCTGCTGAGTTTATTTTAGCTGCCGCTGAGCGCGACGGTGGCGGCGGCTTAATGTTTGGTATCGACGTGATGCTCTGTAACATACAAAATTATACTCATTCAAATAAAGGCGAGTGTAGACAACTACCTGGCTGGCAACTGGTTGTGTGTATGTGATTGTGTGCATGTGTGTGTGTGTGTGTGCGTGTGTGTGTGACTGACCTCCGGCAGTAGTGCGGCGAAGGTGGCGTACAGCTGACACAGGCGGCGCCGCGCGGCCCTCCTGTACATACACACGAAAATAAAATAAAATAAAAACTACCTGGAATATAATTAATGACGAGACATGTAGAAATAAATCACGTAGTGCTGAATTTAATCTAAATACTGCGAATGGACGCATCAATTCAAATTTGAAAGTTGCCCAGGAATTTGAAATTTCTTTAAAAATATTCCGATTAAAACTACAGAAGCATTGAAATCATCTCCGACTCTTTCCGTCGAACTTCTTAAAAGTAATGTCAAGGAGTGCCTTTCTGAGTTTCGATTTCAATACACAAACCCCCAAGCAGTAATTAAAGCGTTCAAAGAGATCAAAGTTAAGTCTACTGAGGATCTCTGGGGAATGTCTGTTAGGGTGTGTAGGTCTTTTATAGAGACTATAGCGCCTCATTTAGCTTTTATTTTTAATAAAAGTGTAAATCACGGAGTTTTCCCGGATTAAATGAAACATAGTAAAGTAGTTCCATTGTTTAAATCCGGTGATAGTGCAGAACCCAATAACTATAGGCCGGTCTCTATTTTACCAGCGCTCAGCAAAGTGTTTGAAAGACTGATGCTTTCTCAAATATTACGTCACTTTAACATGAATTCTATCTTTCATGATCACCAATACGGATTCACCAAAGGTCGCTGCATTACTGACGCGGGAGTAGCTCTAATTAAGCGGGTGTTCGCCTCTTGGGAAGAAGCACGGGATGCCATCGGCATATTTTGTGATCTTTCGAAGGCATTCGACTGTGTTGAACATGAGACTATTGCTGAAGCTGAAACACTACGGCATTCGGGGGACGTCGCTAAATCTGTTGAAATCATACCTTCAGGATAAGCAACTTAAAGTACAAGTAAATAAAGTAAATTCACAGGGTGCTAGCATATCTATGGGTGTACCGCAGGGCTCGATACTAGGTCCATTCTTATTTTTAGCGTACATAAATGACTTGCCCCATTTATTTAAAAATGAACCGCAGATGGTATTATTTGTGCTGCTCGACGAGGTGGGGAAAGTCTTCGAAAGAATCATTTCGAACCGCCTCGTCGCGCACCTGACGGATATTGGGCCGGACCTATCGGACGGCCAGTTCGGCTTCCGCAGAGGGCGCTCCACGGTGGACGCCATCATGCGCGTTAGGGACCGGACGACGGGGACTGCAGTGTCCAGGGGTAAGGTCGTAGTGGCGGTGTCTCTGGACATCGCCAACGCCTTCAACTCCCTGCCCTGGAGCTGCATCTTGAAGGCACTCCGATATCATCGGGTGCCTACCTACCTCCGTCGTGTAATCGAGGCATACCTGACGAACAGGTCCGTCATCTACCCCGGTCACCGGGGCGAGTGGAACCGGCGAAAGATGTCACGCGGTGTTCCACAGGGTTCGGTTCTGGGTTCTGGGGCCGCTCCTGTGGAACATCGGTTATGACTGGGTGCTGCGCACCGACCTCCCGAACGGCGTTAGCATGATATGCTACGCCGACGACACGCTGGTGCTAGCGCGCACGGGAGGTCGCACCAGGCGCGGCCGGTTTAATGGCGACAGCGGTTGCGACAGTCGTTGAGAGAATCCGGCAGTTGGGACTCGAGGTGGCACTCCACAAGTCCGAGGCCATGTGTTTTCATGGCCGCGGGAATGCGCCACCTCCTGGTGGGTCTCAAATAATGGCGGGAGGGGTTACCATCGGCGTCGAGACGGCGATGAAGTACCTGGGACTCGTCCTCGACAGTCGATGGAACTTCGTGGAGCACTTCCGACGTTTGGCTCCAAAGTTGGCGAGGGTGGGGGCTGCGTTTAAGCGCATCCTCCCCAACCTCGGGGGGCCAAACGCCTCCTGCCGGAGGTTATACGCCGGGGTCGTGCGGTCCATGGCCCTCTACGGCGCCCCTGTTTGGGCGCCGAACCTGCTGCAGCGGCCCGCTCGGGCGCTGCTTATGGCACAGAGGGTCATGGCGGTCCGAATGATCCGCGGATACCGCACGATCTCTGGGGAGTCGACGAACCTCCTTGCCGGATTACCGCCGTGGGATCTGGAGGCGAAGGTGCTCGCGCGCGTGTATCGCATGCGCGCGGAGGCACGTCGCCGGGGCGAAACTCCGCTGCCGCGCCAGATAAGTGCGTGGCGGGATGAGCTCCGGCGCGATCTCATGGCGGAATGGTAGCAACGACTGTCGCAACCGAGGGCTGGGCTCGCTGCCATTGCATTGGTGCCCCTCTTTGAGGAGTGGCTTGAGAGACGCTACGGCGTCCTCACCCACCGCCTGACGCAGGTCCTCACCGGACATGGAAGTTTCGGGAGGTACCTGTGTCTGATGGGGCGGGAGGAAACGCCCGGGTGTCATCACTGCGAGGACCACCCTGAGGACACGGTGGAACACACTGTAGCGGAATGCCCTGCGTGGGCTGAGCACCGCCGTGCCCTCAGGGAAGTGATCGGCGATGGAGACCTCTCGCGTCCGGGTCTAGTGCAGGCCATGATGCGGAGCGAGGGGGACTGGGATGCCGTCTCCTCCTTTTGCGAAGCAGTCATGCTAGCTAAGGAGGAGGCGGGACGCGTGAGGCAGCGAAGCGCTGCCTCCTCGCAACCCAGCCATCGCGAAGGACACACCGGGCGTCGGGGATCGCGGGACGATCTCCGGCCACCGTAAGCGCGGGCCTGCGGACGGCGAGCATGGGTGGCTCCCCGTCCGACCAGAAACAGACCCGAGCGTACGGCGCGTCGCGTTCCGCGCGCGCCTCAGAGCCATCAGACCACCACAGATGGGGCCCAATAGGGCCGATGCCGATTCGGAGTCGCGGAGAACCTAACGGGTAACCGGGGCTCCGGCTCGACGTGCAGGAGAAGGAACGGGGTGGTTTTTAGTCAGTAAGAGTCTGACACTCCCTCCGGCCTCACCCGGGCGGGAGCAGTCACTCGATGATTTTCCCCCCTTAAAAAAAAAAAAAAACATGGTATTATTTGCTGATGACACTTCATTAGTTTTTAAAATTAATAGATGCACAAGTAGTTATGACGACGTAAATAATGCCCTAATGAAAGTTCAAAATTGGGTTAGAAGTCGGTGCCACAAGTTTTAAACAAAATTATTCATTAAAATCTTAATAGATACCTAACATTATTGAGCTGTTTACAATTTTATTATGGATTATACCAGCTGTGACTTTTGTCTACTTTATATTTTGTGGGTTTGTGGCACCGACTTCTAACCAATAAGTGGGTGTGTAAGCTATAAGTACGTATGACCACTAATAGTTATTTTTTTCCTTTTTAGTTTTTACTTTTTGTTTTTGAAGTCGGTTTTTTTAAACGCAGTTTTTTAATTTTATTTTATACTTTTTAGTTTAGTACTTTGATATATTATATTATACTAAACCCACATGGATGCAAAGTTTTCATCAATACAAATTCTTCCAGTTCAAACACCGGGTGGGTAATCTCAACCATTGAGGAGTCCCTTAGCTATCACACTACTTCATCATTGGACCTTTAATGACCATCACTCCCCATCTAGGTGTAAAGTCCTCATTAATACAAATTAATCAAACCCAAACACAAGGTAGCTACTGTTAACCGTTAAGGAGTTCCCTCAACTATCGTACTACTTAATCTAAATATATTACAATTGCGTAATGTAAACAGGTTGACTTACTCATCGGCTAGTTGCTGTCTAAGCACTTTATTGTAATTTGTACAGCAAGTGTATGATCGTGGACTTTGACCTAGTTTATATATCTACCGTTGCAAGTAATTTTTCGACTATAGTGATAAATAATATGCCTTTTGTCTAAGTTAAATCGTACCTAATTTTAATTATTTGTGTATTGGTACCTAATTATCTACCTACACCATATTGTCATGTTACTTTTAAGTTGTTTCACCTCTGCCTATCTCTTCCGGGAGTATAAGGCGCAAGGTATGTGTTTATGTATATTATATAGTCTTTATATTATTTGTCAAAATATTGTTCAGTATTAATTAATAATTAGCATGTAAGAGCGTATATAGAAATAAAATTATAATTATGTTAGACCTACTCTCGCCTGTGACACAGGTTTATCCTAGTACAGGCACCCAACCATGTGAGATCTATTTTATTTACCCAAGAAATATTTTTGTATCTGTGTCCATTTTCATTTCTGAATAAAGATTTTATTTATTATTTATTTTACTTCATCATCAGACCCTTATTGACAATTACACCCCACTCAGGTGTAAAGTCCTCATCAATACAAATTAATCAAACCCAAACACAAGGTAGCTTCTGTTAACCGTTGAGGAGTTACATCAACTGGCTCTCGGCTCCATCATCAGATCGGCTCCAGACCTTTATCAGATTGTAGTGGTTTTTAATACTTAATGAAAAAATTAACAAATGCCCTAGTCACCCCTATAATTTTTAAAAGTTTCCCTCGGTTTCCCTGGTCTTCCATCATCAGATCCTGATTTCCTTATCATGGGACCATTCTGGAACTATCTCCTTTCTAACAAAAAAAGAATTTTCAAAATCGGTTCACAAACAACGGAGATATCAGCGAACAAACATAAAAAAAGCATATATACGGTCGAATTGAGAACCTCCTCCTTTTTTTGAAGTCGGTTAAAAAGACAAAATGTATTAGATTTGTTTTGCCCAATGTTAAAAGCAACGACATATTATTGAATGGTGAGAAATTAGAGTTTATAGAGGTAAAAGGGACAACTTTTATGGGAATTACTGTAGACGACAAATTGCAAAGGGGTCCTCACATTACATCATTAGCGGGACCATTGAGCTCTGCTGCTTATGCTGTCTGGTAGAAACGACAGTTAACTGACATAGGCACGGCAAGATTGGTGTACTTCAGTTACTTTCATAGCATGATGTCGTATGGCATTCTGCTGTGGGGACACGCTGCTGACATTGAGTCTATCTTTATCTTACAAAAGCGCGCCGTCAAAGCTATCTACAATCTAGGTCGTCGCAAATCTCTCAGAGAAAGGTTTAAGGATAAATATGCTTAGATGCAGGCTAGTCCGGCTCCACAAATTAACTAAAAACACTGTTGTTTTAATGAAACAGCCATATTGCTAAATTGTATATTGTTTAACTTAGATAACCATTGTGAATGTGAGAGCCCTGTAATTAACTTAATATTAAATTAGAATAGTAGAATTCATGTGTGTCAGCGTGGACTGTGGAGTTGTCATGCTCACTCAAAGGTCTCATTGGCGGTGGCGCGTGCAGTGGATCGCTCGATTCCCTACAATATGGTTGAGTTGAGCGGTGCTGGTGTACGTGTCATGTTCGTGAACGGGCGCCGTCAACTGGGACTGGTCAGCTCCAGACTGTATTATTGCCCTTAAGGTTATTTTCTTTTTTGATAACTTTGACTGGATTTTAGTGTTGCATTGTTCTCGCACAATCCAAACAGCAAAACTATGTAACTAGAGAAGTGTATTGTGAACCCGATTGAAAAAGAGTAATCTATGGAGTTTCTTCTCCATAGGAATCTACTTTGGAATGAGTAAATAGCTTCACTTTAAATTTTTTTTTGTTGACGTTGAAAAGTGCCATTCTGGCCTAATTGAAATAAATGATTTTGACTTTGACGTTGACGTCACACATAGTACCATACGTACATACATGTTATTGTGAGACACAGCCACATGAGCGCCCATAATAGACGCCAGTAGTTACGAAACGGTCGCCGTAGCCGAAACCGGCGCATGGAAGGATTATTATTACATGTTATTGTACACGTCGTCACTCACCTGTGCTCGGCCGCAGCGTCTGCTGTCGATGACGTCGATGTGGATGAAGAAGTCGACGCTGACGAGGACATCGTTGACGTAGGTACCGTTGCTGTGGGCGGCGACGTGAGTGCGCCCGGCATGTCACACCCGGCCTCACTGCGCCGCCGCTTGGCCGCGGGGGCCGCAGTCTCGTCCGGCTCTACAGCGGGAGATAGACACAATTCAAAAAAATATTTTATGGCAACACTGCAGTGGAATTGGGATATTAATTATTGTTTTCTCAATATAAAAAAAAACAATACAGCCAAGTTTAATAGTGAATTTTTCTGTAATGTAAATTATATACGAAAACTGTCAATGTCGTTCTTAGACAGCTTCACAATTTTGACACTAGAGGCGCTAGTTAGAACCTTTGCATCGCCAATATAGTCCGGTCAATTTAGACCAAAACATGAGAGTCATCATCATCTTCAACAGCCTATAAATGCCCACTGCTGAGCAAAGCCTCTTCTCACACGGAGAAGATTAGAGCATTAATCACCACGCTTGCTCAATGCGGGTTGGCGATTTCAAACTTATAATTAGAAATTATAAGTCCAGGTTTCCTCACGATGTTTTTCCTTCACCGTTTGTCAGTGGCGTCTAAATAATCTTAGAAACTACATATAACTCGGAAAAAGTCACATTGGTACTTGCCGTTGGTAGGTTTCGAACCCGCACCCTCATGCATGAGAAGTGGGCGTCTTAAACCTCCGGGCCACCACGACGTTAAACATGAGAGTGAGGTTACATAAAGTCCCAACAAGCTGAACATCAGTAAAATTATTCAAAACATAATCATAAACAATGTTTAAAAGTTCCCCATCATTCCCGTGTATGGGAAAAAAAATGTTCAATTCAAAGGTCAAAACAATTAGTTATTTGCGATTTTCAGCAAAACGGTAAGTTTTGTCATAAAGGTACACAAAAATTATAGATCATAAAATTACCTATAAAAGTGTATCCAGACTTTTTTCTTACGAGGCCCCAGTTCTGAGATATAATGATTCAAAAAGTTATAGAAGTTGTAATCGTCATAATATGCACACGTTTCCACGCCACCTGTGAGGTAGTGTACTTAGCGCTGTCTCGTTCTTTAACGCGGTTTCCCGGTAGGCTTACTGCACGGGTCAGTTGTGATCATGTAAAATTATTGCAAAATAACGGATATTTTCAAAGATTGGAAAAGATAAAAGCGATGTAAATTAAGTAAATTAAAAAAGTTCATTCGCCTGATTCCTAACTATCAAATTCTTGTTCCCTTCTGATTTCAGCAGGTTCTCCGGCGCAGGTGAAACTTTACATTCACCTGCGCTGGAAAAACTGCTGAACACCATTGTGTGTTTTGCAAATGCAAGAAGGGATGCAGTGCTAAATGTGGTTGCAAACAAGTGGGACTGTATTGTTCTTTGGTATGCACAATTGTCAAGGGCGATCGTGTTCTAATATTGAATCACAGACAATGGAGGATTCGTTTGATTCCTACGAAGTATCCTGCGATACATCGCTATTAACGCAATTTACTGGCATCCATAACAAACAAAAAGTTAAAACTAAAAAGCAAAAAATAACTATTATTAGTACTGATAGGTTACCCACCCACTGATAGGTAAGAAGTCGGTGCTACAGTCGTGGTGGCCGGAGGTTTAAGACGCCCACTTCTCATGCATGAGGGTGCGGGTTCGAAACCTACCAACGGCAAGTACCAATGTGACTTTTTCAGAGTTATATGTACTTTCTAAGATTATCTAGACACCACTGACAAACGGTGAAGGAAAAACATCGTGAGGAAACCTGGACTTATAATTTCTAATTATAAGTTTGAAATCGCCAACCCGCATTGAGCAAGCGTGGTGATTAATGCTCTAACCTTCTCCGTGTGAGAAGAGGCTTTGCTCAGCAGTGGGCATTTATAGGCTGTTGATGAAAGCTACATATACTCGTTTTGTTATTTATAAACTACATAGGTGCAAAGTTCTAATCAATACAAATTATACAAGCCCAAACACAAGGTAGTTACTGTATGCCGTTGAGGAGATCCCTTAACAATTACACTTCTTCATCATCAGACCCTTAATGACATCCCCACTCTATCTAGTTGTAAAGTCCTCATCAATACAAATTAATCAAGCCCAAACACAAGGTAGTTAATATAAACCGCTGAGGAGTTCCCTCCACTGTCTATCGGCTCCATCATCAGGTCGACTCCAGACCCTTATCCAATTGTAGTGTTTAACAATCGTAATTGAAAAACATAATAGACGCATTACTCGCCCATAGAATTTTCGAAAGTTCCCCTCGGTTTCCCTAGGAGTCCATCATCAGATCCTGACCTCATGGAAATGGGACCATCTCGGAAGTATACCCTTTCAAACAAAAAAAGAATTTTGCAAATCGCTTCACGCATCTCAGAGTTATGCGCGTACATGAAGATGAAGAATAAACAGGAGAAGAAAGACAAGAAGATTAAGAAGAAAAACCTAAAGACCTAATTTCGAATGCCTAAATTAAACGGACTATTTTTTTTTAAGGGGGAAAATCATCGAATGACTGCTCCCGCCTAGGTGAGGCGGAAGGGAGTGTCAGACTCTTACTGACTAAAAACCACCCCGTACCTACTCCTGCACGTCGAGCCGGAGCCCCGGTTACCCGTTAGGTTCTCCGCGACTCCGAATCGGCATCGGCCCTATTGGGCCCCATCTGTGGTGGTCTGATGGCTCTTTGAGGCGCGCGCGGAACGCGACGCGCCGTACGCTCGGGTCTGTTTCTGGTCGGACGGGGAGCCACCCATGCTCGCCGTCCGCAGGCCCGCGCTTACGGTGGCCGGAGATCGTCCCGCGATCCCCGACGCCCGGTGTGTCCTTCGCGATGGCTGGGTTGCGAGGAGGCAGCGCTTCGCTGCCTCACGCGTCCCGCCTCCTCCTTAGCTAGCATGACTGTTTCGCAAAAGGAGGAGACGGCATCCCAGTCCCCCTCGCTCCGCATCATGGCCTGCACTAGGCCCGGACGCGAGAGGTCGCCATCACCGATCACTTCCCTGAGGGCACGGCGGTGCTCAGCCCACGCAGGGCATTCCGCTACAGTGTGTTCCACCGTGTCCTCAGGGCGGTCCTCGCAGTGATGACACCCGGGCGTTTTCTCCCGCCCCATCAGACACAGGTACCTCCCGAAACTTCCATGTCCGGTGAGGACCTGCGTCAGGCGGTAGGTGAGGACGCCGTAGCGTCTCTCAAGCCACTCCTCAAAGAGGGGACTTACCGCTGCAATGGCAGCGAGCCCAGCCCTCGGTTGCGACAGTCGTTGCTGCCATTCCGCCATGAGATCGCGCCGGAGCTCATCCCGCCACGCACTTATCTGGCGCGGCAGCGGAGTTTCGCCCCGGCGACGTGCCTCCGCGCGCATGCGATACACGCGCGCGAGCACCTTCGCCATGGACCGCACAATTATAACCTCCGACAGGAGGCGTTTGGCCCCCCGAGGTTGGGGAGGATGCGCTTAAACGCAGCCCCCGCCCTCGCCAACTTTGGAGCCAAACGTCGGAAGTGCTCCACGAAGTTCCATCGACCGTCAAGGACGAGTCCCAGGTACTTCATCGCCGTCTCAACGCCGATGGTAACCCCTCCCGCCGTTATTTGAGACCCACCAGGAGATGGCGCATTCCCGCGGCCATGAAAACACATGGTCTCGGACTTGTGGAGCGCCACCTCGAGTCCCAACTGCCGGATTCTCTCAACGACTGTCGCAACCGCTGTCGCCATTAAACCGGCCGCCGCCTGGTGCGACCTCCCGTGCGCGCTAGCACCAGCGTGTCGTCGGCGTAGCACACCAAGCTAACGCCGTTCGGGAGGTCGGTGCGCAGCACCCAGTCATAACCGATGTTCCACAGGAGCGGCCCCAGAACCGAACCCTGCGGCACACCGCGTGACATCTCTCGCCGGTTCCACTCGCCCCGGTGACCGGGGTAGATGACGGACCTGTCCGTCAGGTAAGCCTCGATTACACGACGGAGGTAGGTAGGCACCCAATGATATCGGAGTGCCTCCAAGATGCAGCTCCAGGGCAGGGAGTTAAAGGCGTTGGCGATGTCCAGAGACACCGCCACTACGACCTTACCCCTGGACACTGCAGTCCCCGTCGTCCGGTCCCTAACGCGCATGATGGCATCCACCGTGGAGCACCCTCTGCGGAAGCCGAACTGGCCGTCCGATAGGTCCGGCCCAATGTCCGTCAGGTGCGCGACGAGGCGGAGAGAGGCCAGTTCCCGCTGCTCTGGAAAGCGGCAAACTGGTCCTCGTGCGGAAGACGGGGCGCCCTGCGGACTCTCCGTCCGCATACCGGCCCATAGTGCTGCTCGACGAGGTGGGGAAAGTCTTCGAAAGAATAATTGACCGGACTATACGACTATCTCAATGACTTTGTATGGAAGAATTAACTTAGGACTAGTGACATGTTGTGTACAGTAGGGGAGTGTCCCATAGTGCCGAACACCTAAGCTTTGATGGCAGTTAGAAAAAAACGGATCGCATATTAAACATTTAATGGAAATTATTAAGTACAAAACAATCATAGACACCTATATAAATGAACAAAACAAACAAAAATAAACGAATTATATGTTTTAACAAGTGATTCTTATTGGCATTAATTTTTGGATAATAATTCTTTGGCACCTAGTACCGAACATGGATATAAAATGGCACTTACGGCCGAACAGTCTTAAAAAAGGTGACATCGGTCACAAATATATAACTCAGAACACTCTGGTATATCAGCACAAGCCTCGTGCGCCCATTCTTTGCACGAATTGCACTGGATCCAGTCCTCATCGTGGTCTTCGAGGCAAACAACACACGAAGTCTCTTGGTGTGCCTGCGAAGATACGTTGCTTTGTTGTTCTTTCTCTTTTAATGGCAAAACTTTAGTTTTCTTAATCTTATCTGCTTTATCTGTCTTCTTCAATGTACGCTGTAGTTTCTTTTGTTCTTTAAGCAGTTTTTCGTTTTCTTTATTTTCCAGAGACAATTTGTAAGGAGAGGCAGTTAAGATTTGACTTTTCTCAGACTTTCGTTTTCTTGTTTGAGCTCTTTTCTTTGCAGCGTCTGGTAATGGTGAAATGTTTAATATGGCTTGTCGTACACAATCTGGACCTTTGCTGGTAGAAGGCTGTGGTGAAAAACTTTGCGGTAATATTATGTCAGAATGTATTTGCTCTGGTATTGTTGACTGAACAACAGGCGAAGAACGATCGACGCTAATTTGTTCTTCAACAGATTCTTCTATTGGAATGTTTGTAATATCACTGGGCAAATAATCCAGATCGCTGAAGATATTTTCATTAAATGGATATATACCGGTACACCTGAATCCTGCTGCTGCTATTTCATAACGAGCTACTTTTTTAAAAGCATCTGATACAAGTCCTGCTATATCATACTCTGTAATTCTTGCACCTGCATTAGCTCTTATCCACATTCCGCATTGTTCATTATAGGCATTCTTGAAAGGTTTCATAAATGATCTATCTAACGGCTGAAGTTTATGTGTAGTGTGTGGTGGTGAACTAATAAGGTGAATGTTGTTATCTCTGCACCAGTTTATTACCTCCAAAGTCTTGTGGCTGCTATGCCCATCAAGTAAAAGCAGAATCGGAGACTCCTTTGAAGGTCGAGCAAACTTAGTAAAATGATGCAACCATTTCAAAAAAAACTCATTGTTCATCCAACCTTTCGGTTGGGCAACACCTTCACTATCAGGAGGTGAATTTATCATTAGCCGTTCATGCATTCTTTGGCGTGGAAAAATGAAAAAAGGAGGTATAAAATTGCCTGTAGCGCTCATGCAAAATAAAATTGTAACGTTTTTCCCCCTTTCAGCTGAAGTAAGCTTTCCTATTTGACGGGTGTTTTTTTTTGCCATAACCTTTGCATGCTTTTGTACTGTTGTGACTCCAGTTTCGTCACAATTGTACACATTTGATGGTGGAAAATTGTATTTGTCCAAAAGGATTTTTAAATTAATAAAAAATAAATTCACCTGGCCCTGTTGAATCCAACCGCACGCATCAAGCTGGTAGACTCTGCTGTTCTCAGTGACAAATCTGGATGACGTTTCATGAATTCATAATAGAAATGTTTACCAGCAGCTTCTTTTTGAACGTTAAAACGATGTGGTATCTTGAGATGAACAGCTAAATCGAAGGCGAGTTTCAAAAATTCTTTTTTTGTCAATGGCATACATCTGTCAGCTAAGTCCTTAACATGGCTTACTAAAACATTCTCATACTCCGATGAAAAGGTCTTTGTGAACCTCCCTAGTACTGGTTTCAGTTCTACTTCTTTACCTTCTCTAATAAGTTTCAATTTGTCATACAAAGTAGTAGTAGGAATGCCATATCTTGAAGCCGATTCTCGTAGAGACATTTTTTTGTTTATTACTTTTTCAATTGCTATCTTTAAGTTTTCAGAATCCCAACGACCCTTCTTGATTTTGTCCATAGTATAGGGTAAATTTGTTCCTGAAATAATGAAATACATATACAATTTGCAACACTTAAAATAATAGAGTAATCGTCAAAACATTTTTGTTCGGTCATAGGGGAAAAAATACTGTTCGGTACTAGGGACTCAGTGAAGAGAATTGATACTCATATGACATAAAAAATAGTAACTTATTTTATGTTTTACATACTAGACAGTCCAAATTACTTACCAATGTCAATTAAGATTGGTACCAAATCGATCTTACACTTATATTTCGGTCACAATCAATAGGTTAAGTTTGTAGGCGACGCCAATTTCCCGCGTAAAATACAATGCGGCTGTTCTCGTCCACGCTTTGAGCGTCACTGCGAACCCCCGCGCCACCCGCGGCCACGCTAGCTTTATCTCTTTCTATTGCACGACAACGCATCGTCCTTGTCCGTTTATAAGTACCGATTACAACATTCGTTCGGTACTACCTGCCGTTCGGCGCTAGGGGACTTCCCCCTACCTGTGTGTGTGTGCGCGGCGACACACATGGGGCGCACGGCGGCCGTGGGGGCGCCGCGCCCCCCGCGCCCCGCGGCCCCCGCGCCCCCCGCGCTCTCGGGCAGCTGCACGCGCCGCCAGCCGCGCTCCGCGGGCATCTCGCCACGTGACTCCGCAGTGGGCCCGGAACTAGGCTCTGCTGTGGGCCTTGAGCTGGACTCAGCCGTGGGCCTAGAGTTGGATCCCGCCGTGGGCCGAGAGCTGGACTCCTCTGTGGACTTAGCGCTAGACCTCGCCTTGAGTCTAGAACTGGACCCTGCCTTGGGCCTACAGCTGGACCTAGAGGTGCACCCCATCGTAGACCAGACCAGTGGCAGCCTGTCCAGCGGCAGTCGCTCCAGCAGCACGCGCGCGTCCATGACCAGCTTGGGGTCTGCAACACGCACACTGAGTGAGTCCCCGCACCCCGCACCCCACCCCCCCGCCCTCTGTCAGTTCCTCCCAGTACTCACCGATACTCCCGCTCTCCTCGTCCTCCACCTTGGGCCGCGTGACGTCACTCTCTGCCAGGTCCTCCTCGAATTTTATCAACTCTCGCATACTCTCTGCCAACTCCACTTTAACCTCGACTTTATCTTCTAGGCCATGAGATTCAAAATCTTCGTCGCTATCATAGTATATCTCAGTCTGCATCTCGCTCGGATCCAGTGACTGCAACAACTGCAAGGTGCTCGAGTGCTCCGTCTCGCTCGCACCCGCCTGGGAGTGTGACTGCCATGAGTCCTCTCCCTTTAAACCAGTTCCTTCTTTTTCACACGGATCACGTGGTTCGAGTTTGACGTGATCTGTGAAACAAGAGGCGACCCGTCAGCACGAGGGCAAAGCTATAAATAAAATTATGGTCGCGTACACAAAGCATACACGTACACAGGGTCGCGTACAGCGACCTACTGACCTGACTCCAACGTGATTTCTATTTTCACTGAATTGTCAGGCTGTGCTGACATAGTATTATCTGTCATAGACAAGTTTGCATGTGACGGCTGAGTGACAACTGGCAGGGAATTGCCCTCCATTACATCGCCTGGCGGGAGCTCATCTGGTGGTCGGTCGCCCGGTGGTGGTAAGTCGCCCGGTGGTGGTAAGTCATCCGGCATCGTGCCGTCCGGCAGCGGATCGTCCAGCACGGAGTCGTCCGGCACGGCGTCGTCCGGGCCGGGGTCTGCGGGCAGCGGTAGCGGGTGCTTCAGCACGTCGCCGTCGAGCACGAGCTGAGTCCAGGCGCGCGGCTCGCAGCGCTGGCTGGCGACGTGCGGGTGCTGGCGCAGCACGGCGCGGTGCAGGTGCGAGGGCGCGTCCGCCTCGCGCGCCTGCAGCTTGAGCTCGTGCCAGCGCCGCTGCAGCACTATGACGGAGGCCGCGCGGCCGCTGGCGCGGTACCCGGCGTGCACGTGCGACCAGCGCAGCTCCAGCTCGGCCCCCCGCAGCCCGCGCCCCGCCACCTTCACCCCCTGCCTGCCTCCCGCCTCGGCCCCGCAGCGCCGCACCAGGCGGCACAGAGTGCCCAGCGCTCGATACTCCTCGTCGCGCCACTCGCTCGCCTGCACCACACACCCGCCACACCCGACATGTACTACGTTCACCCACTCTACGTGATGGTGACATGATGGCGAAATGGCGAATGTTGCCAAACTGATTGCGATTAACTATCAATTAAAAAGTCGCACGGCTGTCGTGGCCCAATCAATGTGAGCACGATATTTATCAAAAAGCTTGACGTTTGTGAGCTAGATTTGTATCAGGGAATTTGTTTCGTTCAACTTTAGCTGGCTCGATTCAAAACCGATACCATTTGAATGTAAGGTCGCCATTGCCGGTGTAATACATTCGCCACCATGTCGCCGCTACCGAGGTGCTGCAGTACGTACGGGGCCCAGCAGGCGGTGTCCGTCGACGTCCGTGTGCAGCAGCACGAGGTCCGCCAGGCGCGCCGCGAAGGGAGGGGGCTCCTCCCCCGCCCAGTCCCCGCGCCGCCCCGCCGCGCGCACCTGCAGGAGAGCGGCGCGCTGCGCGCCCACCCTGCGGGACACCTCCAGAGCTACACTACACTGTACGGCTGTACAACGCGACACTGTACTGTACTGTACTGTACACGTCCACTCACCACGCGGCGTGCAGCGTGCCCACGTTGACGCCGATCCTGAGCTCGCGGATGACGCGGCGATACAACTGCGAGGAGCACAGCGAGCTCTCCGCGCGCGCCCCCGCCACTAGCGCACCCAGCACGTACGCCGCCTGCACACACGCACACTCACTATACATACACATACACACACGAATATTCGCACATTTTTTAACATTCGCATTCGCAATGTTTAATGCGAATATGAACTTCATAAACTTAAATATATTTTAAGAGTCTAACCGACATCTCTTCCCTAATTTTTGTTATTTGCACACACACGCTCACTATACACATACTCACACACTTACTATACACACATTCACACACTAACTCACAAACTCACTATACACACACTCACACGCACTATACAAACTAACAAACTCACACACTCATTCTCACTATATACCCACTCACACCCTTACACACTCACTATACACACCAATTCACACCCTCACACATTCACTATACACACATTCACACTCACACACTCACACCCTCACACACTCACTATACACATACTCACACCCTCACCCACTCACTATACACACACTCGCACCTTCACACACTCACTATACACACACTCGCACCCTCACACACTCACTATACACACACTCACACACACCCACATCACTATACACACACTCACACCCTCACCCACTCACTATACACACACTCACACCCTCACACACTCACTATACACATACTCACACCCTCACCCACTCACTATACACACACTCACACCCTCACACACTCATTATACACACACTCGCACCCTCACACCCTCACACACTCACTTTACACACACTAACACCCTCACACACTATACACACACTCGCACCTTCACACACTCACTATACACACTCGCACCCTCACACACTCACTATACACACACTCACACCCTCACCCACTCACTATACACACACTCACACCCTCACCCACTCACTATACACACACTCACACCCTCACACACTCACTATACACATACTCACACCCTCACCCACTCACTATACACACACTCACACCCTCACACACTCATTATACACACACTCGCACCCTCACACCCTCACACACTCACTTTACACACACTAACACCCTCACACACTATACACACACTCGCACCTTCACACACTCACTATACACACACTCGCACCTTCACACACTCACTATACACACACTCGCACCCTCACACACTCACTATACACACACTCGCACCCTCACCCACTCACTATACACACACTCACACCCTCACCCACTCACTATACACACACTCACACCCTCACACTCTCACACCCTCACACACTCACACCCTCACACACTCACACCCTCACACACTCACACACTCACTATACACACACTCGCACCCTTACACACTCACCCACACTCACACCCTCACAGCCTCACACACTCAATCCCTCACACACTCACACCCTCACACACTCACTTTACACACACTAACACCACCCTCACACACTATACACACACTCACACCCTCACTATATACATACTCAAACCCTCACTATACACACACTCACACACTCGCACCCTCACACACTCACTATACACACACTCACACCCTCACACTCTCACACCCTCACACACTCACACCCTCACTATATACATACTCAAACCCTCACTATACACACACTCACACACTCGCACCCTCACACACTCACTATACACACACTCGCACCCTCACACCCTCACACACTATACACACACTCGCACCTTCACACACTCACTATACACACACTCGCACTCTCAAACACTCACTAACACATAGTATACTCACCGCGACGAATGATGCCCTGCTCCTCGGCTGGGAGTCGGTAGACGTCGGCGCCCTGTTACAGTGTACACAACGTATATTACATAACGTTCAGCAATATAAGTCAGGATTAAACTATATTAAAAAAATAATTATAGATTCATTGTAAGCAAGTATCTAGGAACTAGGGACGTAATGAATTCAATAGAGCAATAGGGGAAGCGCAATTCTTATCAAAAACAAATTCGACACCACCTTGTTCACAGCTATTGTACTGAAAACATTCAGGCAACAAACATTGTGATAGAGGACTGGTCGGGACCTGTCATAGTATCAGCTTTATATAGCCCTCCATAACATGCCATAAAGCAAGAGGAATACGAAAACTTCCTTAAAACCCTCGGACGGCGGATTGTGTCTGGCGGTGACTGCCATGCCAAGCACACATTCTGGGGTTCTCGGCTTATAATGTAAAAGGTCGACAGTTAATGCTAGCGATAAATAAACTCCAACATGGCGTTATTTCAACAGGCGAACCAACATACTGGCCACTGATACAAACAGGAAGCCAGACCTCAATGACTTTTGCGTCATCACAGGTATTAGCAACACCGACTTGAGTTGCAACTCTAGTACTGATCTGTCCTCTGACCGTTCTCCTGTAAGACCTTGCCGGCTACACACACACCCGTACAACAAACTGGGAATTGTTTAGAGATCTATAAACCAAAACTCTTAACACAAAAATACCACTTCAAAGTAATGAAGATATTACTAGTGCAGTCGAGCATTTTAACAACACAGTCTAACAGGCTGCATGGGAAGCCACGCCTTGACGCCTCCGACAAAGCCTATATTAATCGAGATGGACTCCAATTTTCACCACTTATCAGAAAATTACAAGATGAAAATCGTTAAGCCAGAAAGAGATGGCAAACCACCCGGTACCCAGGGGACAAAACCACTTTTAATAAGTAACTCAAGCAACTATTGATAGAGACCAAGATACCGCAACATACCTGCGAAATCTGGACCGCTAAACCGTCAACCGACTACTCATTGTGGAAAGCGACAAAAGGTACCCCTACTCAAAGCAGACAATTCATGGGCTAGGAATGATGCTGATAAAGCCAATGTATTCATGGAGCATCTGCAAAAAGTTTTCAAACCAAACCCCAATATTGGCTCCACAAAGATGGGAATGGTTAAAGAGCTGCTGAATCGGACGCATCAACTAGAGTTACCCATTCGGAAATTTAGCAAAGCCAAGACCAAATCTGCAATCAGAAAACTGAACGTAGGCAAAGCCCTTGGATACGACTAAAAGAGCTACCACAGCCGGGCATAACATTTCTGACGCAATTATACATATAATGCCATCCTTCGAAAGTACCTAGCTAAAATTATAATGATCCCGAAACCAGGCAAAAGTCTAGAAGATGCCAAATCCTATCGGCCAATTAGCCTACTGCCAATTACAATTACATCCAAATTAATGGTTCCTGCCCTATATCTCCTTTATACCGCAGACTTGGCATCAGATGACTCACCAATACAAGCTTCCCACAAACTACAAAACAGCCTGGATAAGATCACAGAATGGCTAAAAGACTGAAGCCTAACAGGGAGAAAACTCATTTTTAAAAACGCCTAGCAATGGCGCAGCAAGTACGTAGTAAGTAGTAAAATGTTTTTTTTTTTCTTATTCTTTGGCAAGACGTAAGATGTATTGGTTGATGAATAGAAACAGCCAGCTGTCAGTGGAAAACAAACTTTTGTTATATACAAGAGTATAATAAAACCAATATGGACATATTGGGATACAGCTATGGGGCACGGCACAACAATAGTAGCCGCACCATGGTATGGAAGTAACGAAAGACTTCACCAAGAGCTTGGCATCTCAAGAGGAAATTAGGGAGGGAGTCACAACATATAAAGACAGACTGCAACTGCACCCTAACATACTGGCACACCACTATATGGACGATAGACATCCAAGCGCAAGGAGACTAAAGAAAATATTGCTACAAGATTAAATTTAATTTAAATAACTCCACTAACAAAGAAATTGCATTCACAGCCCAAGAGAAATGTATCCGAAGTATATGTGGACTTAAACAGACTGATTCATGCAGGGTGGAATCCAGAAGGTTAAAAATACTAACTCTGGCGTCAACGTATGTATTGGAGCAGCCTCGATCACAAAGTGCGAAATCAGTAATTGAGAATCAATGATAAGTATAAGACATAAAACTGAACTTAAGATAGCTAAGAGTAGGACAGATAAGTTTAAATCAAGTGTACTTTGTATGGGTGTGAAAATTTATAACAAACTAGCGACCCGCCCCGGCTTCGCACGGGTGCAATATGCATGGAATAAACATAAACCTTCCTTAAGAATCACATTATCTATAAAAAAACCGCATCAAAATGAGTTGCGTAGTTTTAAAGATCTAAGCATACATAGGGACAGACAGACGGCGGATAGCGACTTCGTCAGATTCTATCAAATCCGCTCAAACATTAGCTTCTTTTACATACAAACTCAGGGCATTATTGACTTATTGATACAGAAAGTATACTACACAATGAATTTTTATATAACAAATGTGTTTATCTGTGAACAACATCCTGTATCTCTGGAAGGAGCTACATCAAATGTCCCGGCTCAGCACAGTTTAGATGTTTGTAATAATTTTATAGACTGTGAATCACAATGTTTGGTCACAATAAACATTAATTTTATGTGTGTTATAGAGAATGGCATACTTGCACAGTGCGGAGCTGTCCTTGGGGAAGATGGAGGGAGCGTAGTCCACGTCGGACGGCTCACGCGACGGCGCGCCAGACACGAAGTGCTCCGCACACACCGCGCTCTGCGAACACTGCCGCCACCATCTACCACTGCACACACACACACACACACACATTACTCCAGTACACTGCAGTAACATCAGATACAGACTTTAGAAACCACGTTAGACAATACTGGATTTGAACCGAACCCCCGACGCGCAGTACCCGAATACTGCACCTATTACACAGAGTGACAACAGACCAAGTTCCAGCAATGTATCTAACTACAATGTCACGTACTTGACGGTCTGGATCGCCTTCAACCATTTGGTTGCTTGATCCACGTCTGTCTTGCCGTCCGGGAACTTGTAGAACTTCAAGTCACTGTTTGTTTGTGTGTTTGTGCAGAACACAAAGCAACAACTCTGTTCTCGCTGCGTCGTCTCGCTCTCCTCGGACAATCTTAATTGACGTACGCGTTTCTTATTAAAATTTTTAAGTGTTTGCGATATCTTCATGATTCTAATATATTAGTTTAATGTCAGTTTTACATATAATAATATTATTCTTCAATTTCACAAATATTCGACTGATGAGACTGACACTTGACATCAATAACATGAGTAACATGACAGTGACAGTGACACCTACAGTCGTAGTTTGGTGTTGCCAGCTTCGAAAAATTACATGTGTTAGAGGCATAGACAAAAAGGAACGAAATGTCATCGCGTAGCGGGAAAATATAATCTGTGGTTCGAACAATGAAAAAGTCAAGATGGCGGGAACTCGGAAATTATTGAGACGGTGTATTTGGTGTTGAGGGAATTTTATTCTATTTGAAAGTCAATTTGCTTATTCATGTGTTATTGTTGTTGTTTTTCTTTCCAATTATTAGTTATGGTTTAGCTAGTTCTGAATTTGTAATTTGATTTCGATGTTAACAATATAAGGTGAATTCATGAATTGTAATGGTGGTACTCTTTATTTCTCCTGCCTCCTGAGTTTCTAAAATCCAATGTGGTATAAAACAAATAAGTTACTAATATCAAAGAGTAAGGTGAACTCTATGACAGTTTTTAAGTTTTCTAATATCAGAAGTGGGATACGATTATTTTCCATGCGTTCTGACTTTTTATGTAGATAATACTTACATGATACGGCAAATTGACTATTCAAAGTTTTTCATTTGTTTTATGTAAGTTCGTGTTCATGTACTTAGTAGGTTGTGATCGAGGTATTGTGGCAAATTGTGGTAACGTATAACTATGACTGAAACTTACCGTGAGTACGTTCCAATTCCCGTTTGAAAAGCTATAATGCTTTTGTGTATTTGTACGTGTAAGCTTCAAATAAATAAAATTGTGAACTCTAAACTATTCCTACTAATTTTCTTTTAAGTTAAAATCTTTAACAATCTCAAGTTCTGTCATTGTAATTTGTCATACCTACCTATGTCCTTTACTGTTACAAACAGTAAGGAGAGACAATGAATGTCACGTAGGTACTGAAGTGATTCTGCTAATATTCTAGGCGATTCTGCTAACATGGCTTGTGTAAAGTAAAGTGAACTGAAACACTAAATTTTGATTTGTTTGACTGCATGGAGGAGTGATGCTGCCAATTGCTGGTGAGGAAACGTGAGCTCAACACCGGTGCGCCTGCCTGTGCTGACGTCGCTACAGCTACAGTTCATGACTGCGGCAGTAGCTGAGCGTCGATGGTTGGTGGCAGTAGGTGAATTGACTTCGCTTGGACTGCTATGCAAGCTTGGCTCACTGTGTTGTAGAAGCAATACATTCAATGACCAGGCTGGTGAGATCTAATCTTACTTTTATATTTAGTATTCTTTATCTGCTAATTTTTTTGATCAACAATATAGACAGCAGACCTGGTATGAAGCAGTAAGATACTAAGAATATAAAGTTTGAATTATTGAAATAAAAATGAGTAAATGTTTTACAACGGCAACTGCTTAAAAGCTAAGTCCAAGGCTCAATGCATGGGTTACCATTGGTTGTATTTAGAGTAATGTGAAGGATTAGTTTGTGAAACGTTTGTGCTTTTGAATACGTTGTACGAAGTCATGAGTATGAATACTGATCAATATCCAACATATGAATGCTGAATATGCTTATCGATTACTGTTAAAAGTTACAGTTAAAGTTAATGGGTTGATGATAAGCATATTACAGCAGCAGTAAAATTGAACCAAGTTTCAACTATAAGTTGTTGGTGTCGTTTGTTACAAAGCAAAATACATTAACTGTTAACAAGTTAACTAATATATTAACATTGTTTGTATTCTTATGTTATCAGGCATTATTTGTTATGTTTACACTTGAGAGAGGTCAATACATTAACAAACTTTTACTTAACTTAATGTATGTATTGCGTTTGAAGTGGCATCTTGCAACTGAATTTTGAATCACAAATCTTTAGCCGATGGAGCTGAAATTTTTTATGTGTTCAGGTTTAGCTGTGAATTCAGCTGAAATTTTACATCTTTTATCAAAGTAATGTAATCCAAAGAATAAAGATTAAAATCAGAACAGGAGAACTGCTGTATGTTGAAAAACATATTTCTCTTCTAATATGCACCATTCACCACAAGTTAACAACTTGTGCAGAATTGTGAAAAATGCTACATGTTACTGCTTGAATCATCTTAGGTAGTTGTACAGGGAAGTACTGTTGTTATAATGGAAGCAGCAGTATGTGTATGTTTCTCCTTAGCAGCTTTACCCTTGATAGAGTGTTGATGTGGTTGTTGTACTGTAATGAAGGTAGGTTGCCAGTATGCACCTCACAGTTACTATAATCCATAATATGTATGTCCGTTCTGCACTTGTTTAGCAAATTTGTAAATACAGACTTAATTTGGTTTGTCTACCGCATGAGTAACCTCTTGAGAGGCCGAGAGTGCTTTCTACTACCGGTGAACAAGCTGCTGTATGGATCGGTTGTTCCTCCTAGAAACGTGACTAGACTCCGTAGAGCGTCAGGATACATCATTGTATGCTGAGAGAGATGATGCCTAATTTGTTATCGTTTTTTGCTTAAAATTTCAAATATGTACACAACCCAGCTTTCAGTGTACTATTTCGAGTTTGTCACCTTGATATATTACTTGAGAGGTTTCATGCTGGATTTTATGAAAACTCTTCTTATTGTCAGCAACAACGATGTCCACGTATTGAACCGCTAGTGTTACTTGTGTTAGCTGACTGGCGATAAGTAACGTTTACTTGTAGGCATCGTTTTACATATTGACACATATAGTTACATTTCTTTTTATATGCAATTTGACATTATTAGCATAATGTGATATTGTTTTTCATTTGAAAAATTTATATTTTTTTAAACTTGACATTTACCTCTATTTTTTACAATTGTTAGTGCTAGGACCGTGCGAGACTTTTCTTTTCTTATTTCTTATCATACTCTGACAGTTTGAGTATTTGTGCGACCCACGCAAATGTTCTTTAGGTTGGTATTGTTCGTCGAATCACTCAGCCTCATCTGTTAATTGAGCTGACTGTAAACCGACACATGCGTACTGCTTTCAGAACGGGTCCGCTCAAACTGTTGTGGTTCTTTCCTCAAAAGGCCACTACAGAGAGAACTTGCACGGTTCTCACACATAATCTTTTTATACATATTTGTCTGGACTTTAAAAGAGACAGACCTCTGAGTTTGTTTCGGCATTTCTTCTCAGAGTAGTCAGTTAGGAAATGTCGACCTCATCGTTCGCTTGATAAAATTGACGTGTAAAAGTGCTGCCTTGTAGTCTATTTGCAGAAATAAATTCACTTGTTTCACATGTGAACCATGTTGATTGCGTGATAAAAAAAAATTGAAGTAAGTTTTACCGATGATCAATAATCATGCTGATTCGGTGATAATGTATGTGCCTTATCAATGTGTATGATTACAGGATTCCATCAAAAGAATATTTAGGATGGACTAAAAGTCATAGTCAGGTGTGTCCGAGCGGATACAGAACGTCTGACAAGATCGAGTGTGGTGTGGTGTGTAGTGTGGTGAAGGCTACAGCGCTAAGTGTTACGACTGCTAATAGATGGTATACTCGTGTGGAAACGCGACACAGACTGTGGCGGAGTTTCTAGTGCTATGTGGATAGCTTCGGACTGTAGAAATGTGTCCTTCCCACACAATATGGTACGCTAACATTGTGTGATATCTGATGTGTATTGTGTGTGTAATGTGCGTGTGAATAATATGCTAACGTAGGTATTAATTATTACACATGTGTTAGAGACTCATGATATGCCAACGCCGTGCCTATGTCATGTAGTCGTTATAGCAGAGATAGCTAACGTCGTGCTTCCTCTCTGAGTATGTTTTATGATTGTGAACTATGCTAACGTCGTGCCTATGGTTCACTATTGATTGTGTTTTTTTCCTGTGTTCGTGACTCATGATACGCTAACGTCGTGCCTATGTCATGTAGTCGTTATAGCAGAGATAGCTAACGTAGTGCTTCCTCTCTGAGTATGTTTTATGATTGTGAACTATGCTAACGTCGTGCCTATGGTTCACTATTGATTGTGTTTTTTCCTGTGTTCGTGACTCATGATACGCTAACGTCGTGCCTATGTCATGTAGTCGTTATAGCAGAGATAGCTAACGTAGTGCTTCCTCTCTGAGTATGTTTTATGATTGTGAGCTACGCTAACGTCGTGCCTCTAGTTCACTATTGATTACTTTACTGTGTTGGTGACTTATGATATGCTAACGTCGTGCCTGTCATGTAGTTGTTATAGTAGAGATAGCTAACGTAGTGCTTCCTCTCTGACTATTTTGAATTATTATGGATCAATGTGTACATGTCGTTGTTTGTGTTGGTAACCAACGACATCCCGATACAATTTTTATAATTTCAGGTGCAGAAGGTATTGAACTCACACGTCACGTTTTTGGTAATTGATAAGATTAACGATTTAATATGGGTCGATGTGTCTTCGGAAAAAACCGGTGTCCCGACCCAATCCTTATGTTCTCAAGTGATGATTATGTTGTTTCCATGGATCATGTGATACGGTAATATGATGCCTATCATGTGGTCCACATTAACCGAGATAGCTAATGTTGTGCCTCCTCTCTGGCTATTTTTTTGTGACCTGCGCTAACGATTTAAAATGGATCGATGTGACCGCCGGTAACCACCGTCGTCCCGATCCAATTCTTATGTTCTCAGATGCAAACAGTATAGAGTTCACAGCTGAACAAGCTGCCAGAAGCCGCGGTGATGTCCCTGCTACGGAGCGTGTGCTGTAAATATGCGACAGTGCGACACAGGAGCACGAGGACGTGCTCCAGTCTTTTTTTTTTTTTTTTTTTTTTTTTTTTCTTTGGCAACTGAGTCTCCACTACGATGTTGTCGACTATACTGCCAGTGTCGAGTGGTGACGGCAGTTAATGCACCGTCGAACTTTAACTTTCTGGTAGTTGTTAGTAACTGGAAGAGACAAAAACAATTGGGTTAGTAAACATATAC